AACTTGATTGGCTTGTTTTCATTATGTGGTAGCATTAACTTATAATTTTTAGAGAAAATAAAACACTTAAAATAATAGCAATCATGAACATAACTATGTGGAATATTTTCATATTTTGTTCTTATATGAAACAAATGTGGTTTATTTTTTTGTAAGAAAATCAGTATGAATACAATGTTTTCGTCTTTTTGTAAAATCCTATGTACAGTGGTACAAAAAAGTGGTACAAAATAAAAAACGAATGTCACGATAGACAAATCATCTTACTATGTTCTAATGGGTTTAAATAGTTTGCATAAATTCTTATTAGCTCAATGCTTCTAAAATCCTAATATTTGTAATTGTCCCAGAATTTAAAATATTTTTATAGTTTCCCGATATAAATAAAGATTTTATAGTTTTCTAAACATAAATAAAACAAAAACAAAAATTCCTTGGAAAGAATTTACTAAAAAAACTTCAAAATTTATTTACGATACAATAGTGAATAATATAGTAATACTACAGCGTTTACAACATTTTAGCCCACTTACATACTTCTAAGCAAAAATATAAAAGCATGGTACTCAGCGAAGCAATAAAAGTATTTCCAAAGCACATTTTTGTATGGGAATACAAAGACGTGTGTCAGATAACCTATCTTCCGAACAAGAACTTCGACAAATGGATCTGTTTGCCAAGTGGGTGGTTATCAAAAGAAGACATTGTTTGAAAAGATCTCGATATCGATTATGATTGCATCAAATAAGAACAAAAGAACAATTCTTTTAAGGGAAATTAATAGGATCTCTTCTTCAGATGGATGTAGCTTAAAAATTACTTTTTTTATGAATACAAATGCGAATTATCTCACAAAAATTACTGTATATATTTTAGTGCTATTGATGAAAAGAAATTGCTAGAGTTCTATTTTGCAATTCTCTGGAATTGAAATTAAATTGTGTCATCAATCTCAGTTTATGCTTATTATAGAATGAGTTTTTATTTTTTATTTTAATCTTACTGTTAACAAATCTAATGTATAAAGTCGAATATTTGCTTGTACAAATGTAACGCTTGCGAGTATATATTAATATTTATAATAAATTATAAACAATAACACTGTTAATTTCATTATTTTCCTATAATATATTTTTATCTAGTTTTAACTAAAACCCGCGAAGAAATTTAAATTAGTTTTTCTTTCAATTAAACCAAAATATTAATTTGTACAATACAATTAATGCTTTGCAACATTATCAACGCATTATAACAATGGACTTTAGTAGTAATACTAATGTTTAATTGCTTAGAGATATAAAGATTGAGATTATGTAACAGATTGATCATTTTTATATTAGAATTTTTTTGAATCCCGAAACCTTCCTTAATATTTTCTCAACAAATTAACCGAAGTAAAATATATAATGAATATTACTTATGCCCAGCAGCGAAGAATGATATCTGATAGTTATATATATAGTAAAGAATTAAATCCCAGATGACAAGAAAATAAATATACTAGTAAATGGAAATAAGACGATACCCATTTAAATACATTGCATTTAACTACTATCGAGTCATGATAATTCGAGTTAATCAAGATAATCATCAACTCGTATTACTAAAAACTCGGATAAAATATAATTTCACAACAGAAAAGGAATTCCTCTACAAATATATTAAAATTCAAGACAAAATTAATTTAACGGAAAAAAGAAGCGAGCAGACACAATTGTAAATGAAAAAATATTTTTAACCAAGATACACTTTCATAAATTAATGTCAAAAAGAGGAGTCTATAGTTTGTCTTTTCACAGAAATTGTTTTTCTCGTAGCTCTTTCACAATTTTTTTTAAAAATAGAATATTTTCTGGTGAAGTATTAACTTATCTGTAGTTGATTGATATAGAAAAAGGCACCATCTAAATCTTCAACGTCTTCTTTTTTTCGTTTTCAATGTTTGAATCGTAAATTTTACTAATTGATTCATACAGAGAAAGACATCATCTAAATCTTCAATGTCTTCTTTTTAGTTTTCAATGTTTGAATCGTAAATTTTACTAATTGACTTTATATTAAAATTCATGGAAACGAACTTGTGCTTTTTTTTTCCACTGATTTTTCTGCTGACCTTTATTCCGTCTTACATCAATAAAATAGAGAACATGATGACACACTTAGAGGGAAAGTGACCTGTCACATGTTAAGTCTATTCACAATCTTCAGACGCAAAATCGATTCAATTGTAAAAAAGGAGAAATTTCCGCATGATTGCCTGAAAATATAAAAAAAATAAACATCACACAATAATTAAAAAAATATCATATAAGATTTATAAACTATAAATTAAACTTTTTTATGAATATAAATATATACAAAACAATTCCAGTTTCCTGCTAATTTGTTATCTAAAGTGATAACTTTAATTTAATTGAAAAAGAACTAATTAGAATTCTCTCGTGATTTTTACACAGCGATACGTGATACAGATTAAATATAAATTTATTTTTATAGTTTTAAGTAATTGAGGCACAAAATCTATTTCGTATCTCCATTACTTTTTTATATTTTGTGATATTAAGCAAATTCTTCAATTCAACACACAATTCTACTACACACTACTACAATACACAATTTTACTATAAGAAATTACTATTTTTTTATCTTGAACTGAATTTGAAACAAATTAATAAGAATTGTTTGCAATTTTAATCAAGAAATAGAGAGGCAAAATATATTTAGAGAGAAAAAAATAACCACTCAATAACTTTTTATCAGAAATGCAAACACACACAAAAAAGGCAAGTTATTTGTGTCGTTTATACAGAGGTTTTCAAAAGTTAAGGAAAAATAAAAAAAAATTGTTCTTGTGAATTTTTTATTCGTCGGAATTTATTGAAATTCAGTAAAAACATTAATCAATACTTTACAAATTAGGCCATAAAGAAAAAAAAACAATAGGTTTATTTTATGTTTTAAAATTATTCATTTCCAAAAACATAATAAGTTCAATGTGTGATCAATTTCAATACTGACTGCGATTCCCTCTAGCAATTATGCAAGCATAACAATAATGTTCCATCCTAAAATAAATGTATTTATTAATTAGGTGATGGTGTTAGCCTTGTTTCCATTTTCCCGCTCTTTGAAGGTTTGTAATAATATTATTTTTTTAAGGAAGTGTTAAAAGCTCGTAATTATCTTGAAAGTTTTTTTAAAGCCTTTTTGGGTAAGAATATTGAGTTATTATTTTATGAACTTTAAACTTAATGTATATGAATTTTATTTTGTTCAATTTATAATACTTTTGCAGTAATCCTAAACGTTTGGGAAAGGAAATATTCACGAACTTCTGAGCACATTATAAAACTATTTACACCATTTTAATGCATTGAAAATTCAATTTATTATTCAAATAGATAAATAAAACTTAAAATTAAGTATTTAATTACTAAATATTTTAAATCAGACATTGTTTATTAAAATTTTATAGTATTACAATAAAACAATACTTATACAACATTACTAATACAACAATACTTATACAACAATACTAATACAACAATACTTATACAACAATACTTATACAACAATAATATATCTCTTTATAAACATTTCAGAAATAATAATTCATTGAAGATAATATGCAACTCTTTTTAACGGCACTTTCTCTTACATTTTATTATCAATTATTGCTTGTCCAAAATAAGTACTTTTTTTATAATTGCATTAGCTTCAAGGAAAGCACTTAAGCAATGCCAAATTTAATAATACGAGATTGTAAATCTAATAAAAGTCGCTATTTTTTTATTTCGTATTTAAATAAGGCTTTATTCAAATAATTGAACATGTAGTGGGGTTATCTTACTATACATATTTAAGTTTCCATTGTTAATAATCTTTATAAACTTTAACAGTCGATGCCTTAAATATATAAAAAAAAAATTATCTTTGTGTGTATATATATATATATATATATATATATATATATATATATATATATATATATATATATATATATATATATTTAAGAACTATTCATTTCTATTTTTTTCGATTTTTAATTTAAATTTAAATTTATTAAAATTTTCGATTTAAATTGGCCACACAAATGTGATATTTTATATCGGTTAAAACTCAAATAATTGAATTTCAGAATTTTTAAGCAGAATTCTGACTTTATTAATCAAATTTTATTTATTATAAACGATTTATATAAATGGTAAAATGTAATAAAAGCCAAAATCTTTCTCTTTTAAAACGTAGGATTTAAAAAGATAACCGATCACTTCGAGGGCTAAAATGTTAAGTAAGATTTTATGAAAAAAATATAGGTAATAAAAATAGGTAAAAAAACATTGAAAAACATGAAAATTAAAATAGTGTTGTTGTTATCTATGGCTTTATTAGAACTCAATCCACTCAAATTTGGCCACCTACCGTAGAAACAAAGACAACATATAAAAAAATAAAAATTACAAAGGCAAAAACCAGACATTCTTAACAAAACGACCAAATGGCCTTAAAAAAGTTAAAAACAAGTTAAATATTCTAAGGATAAAAATTTAAAAACTGTAAGCACCATATTAAAAGTCCGTGTGATCAGGACATGTTTTCTCTGGGCCTTCAATATAGGTTTGTTTTGTCGCTCTACGGCCATTTTGTGTCCAGAAGGGTTAAACAGACCGAGACCCACAATTTAAAGTAGATTCCGAACCACTCACAAATATACATGCCACCACCAGGATTCGAACCTGGAGCACCAAAGGCGCTAGCCACTTGTCCATCAGGCCGCTCCTTCAGTATAGAGTAAACAAATCACCATTCTGTTGAGAGTTAGAGATCAGTTGCGAGCAAACAAAAAATTAAAATATATACATAAATTTTATTTTTTTGAATTAAAATTTGGAAAAAAATTGACAAAAAAATAGGTATCAGATTTTACTGTAGCACTCATAACTAAAAGAATATGCAAAACATATTGCATTTACTTGTTTAAATATAAATATATACAAGTTAACGGCCGTACCATGCTGAATATACCGGTTCTCGTTAGATCACCGAAGTCAAGCATCATTGGGCGCGGTCAGTACTTGGGTGGGTGACCACCTGGGAACACAGCATGCCGTTGGCAAATTTGGGATCTGAATGGCCGAGTGTCTAGCGCTCTGGCGCTCGGTGCCACAGGTTTCGGGTTCGAATCCCGGCGGTGCCATGGATGTTTGTAGTGGTTCGGAATCCACTTTAAGCCGTAGGTCCCGGTCTTCTATGACTGTAAGAGCGTCACGGAGCAAAAGTCAGGCTTCTACCTACGGGTGCTCCATCACAACAGAAGCTGCTTCCTTCCCCTTCAATCATGAGTCCATATGGGCTCGTGGGCTTGGCCAGCCAAGTGGGATAAGAAACAACAAAACAACAACAACAAATATATACATATCCATTATAAATGCATTGAATCAAATGAAGGATACTGCTCTAAATTGTTGCTGAGTTACAGCCGACTGAGTCATTAAGATCAAAAATACAAGAAAGAAAGGAAAGTTTTTAACAAAAATGCTTGCAGTTCATCTTTATATTTCAAACCTTTTAGTTCAATGTATGCATGACATCATTAAAAAGATGCAGCTGAAATTTCCTTAAATTCTGAATTTATTGTAAGAGTTAGGATTGTTATCATATGGCGGTGTAACAAAAAATGCAGTTATTCAGAATCTCAATTTAAAGTTTTAAATGTATGAATTCGGTATCAAAATATCTCATGATGAAACAGTTGTATCTCGACTTCTAATGACTCCGGAAACAAACTGAATTTGTTTTTGAAAAGTATGGATCTTAAGATAAATCAATAAAAAAATCGACTTTTTTTCCACGAAAATTGTGATTTGAACGTGGTTGGTTACCTTTCCACATAATATTTATGATAATTTAAATTCTTATAAATATCGTTGTGGTTTGTTATTGATTTTGATTGACTAACAGAAATCTGTTTGCATTAGCAAAATTACTTGCTCCTTACAAATAGTCGTTCGCAAAAATAAATTGTTATGCGAACATGAGTAGTAATGTTTCTTTATAAGTTAAATCATTAAATACAAAGGAATTGTATTTTTGCCTTTAATGTCATGCTTCTACTACGAATCACACAGCCCAATTTTTTTTATAAATCAATTAAAAATTGTTCACATAGTGACATTTGAGTTCAGATTTTACTATGAGAACAATTTTAAAATTCACTTATTTAAGTTAAAGTAAAAATTACCTTTCGTTAATGATTTCTTATCAAAATTACTTGTTGTACATTTTAAATTGTTCAATAAATGTTTTGAAAATCAATTGTCCAATTCAGTTGTTGAAGTGCACAAATTCTGATATTTAAATTTACTTGATATTGGTATTATATAGATTTGGCAAATGTTTTATGTTTAGAGGGTCAATACTGATTAAATCTTGAAAGCTAATAGAAATAATTTTGGTTTTATAGATAATTAATTTTGGTTTAAGAGATAATTAATTTTGGTTTAAGAGATAATTAATTTTGTTAAAGAGAGAATTAATTTTTAGTTGTTTGGTTTATTATTATTATTATTTTTTTTGGTCTAATAGAAATAATTTTGGTTTTTATATCTGAAAACACCTGACGCAAAATAACTCAAAGAAAAAATGTACTCGTGTATTTTTAATTATGTATATTCAACATTGTCTAATTCTTAATGTCAGGAAAAAAGGAGCCTTTGATATTAAATTTTAAAGATAATTACAAACATATAAGGTTTTATTTACACATAATTATATTTAGATAAAAAAAAATTACTCCGTATTTTTGTATAAGCTTCAAAAAATATATGTAAATTTTTGGAGTTTGGTGAGTTCGCGTATATTTTAGAATCTAATTGCAATAAGAATTCGAAGCCTTTTAAAATGAAAAAATAGTTTTCTACTATTGAAGAAATATCTTAAATTTTCAATTAATTTGCTTTTATTGTAAATAAATACGGATTAAAACTGTAAATTACTAATAATGAAAATAATTAATGTGACGATTAAAATATAAATTCGGATTCTTACCTGAAGAATTCTTAATGCTTTTCAGATGACTGTAAAAACTGGGATAAGGCCAAATTGCCATATTATAAAAAACATAATAAAATTTATTAAATCACAAAAAAAATACCTACCATTTTATTAATGGTAATAAACCCCAGTACCTCTGTAAATTAAAGAAGAATATGCTCAAACTGTTTTTCCAAAATTTATTACAATTTCTTAAGATTTTTAAACTATTAAAATCAATATGAATAAATAAGTTTTTCATTTCTTAAGTTTTAGAAATATTGTCTATTGATTTTTTGTAATTTAAAATATTTTGTGAGATTTGTGTGCGATACGACCAAAAAAAACATTGATATGAGGATATGTATGATTTTTAAAAAGTTGTCTTTGAGCTATTGAATTGTGTGTTTGAGTCGTCATTTTGTAGCTGTATTTGTTCCAATTTGAAAATCGGAAAGAATTAAATGAATGACAGTACTATTTGAACATTGAGTCTGTCGTAAATATGTTACAATATAAACTATGCTCTAAACCGATATATCATATGTTTGGGCATTTAATATTTTAAAGGTCTTGCCTTGTTAAATATTTGACATATCATGAGATCGAAATTCGAATTTTATTAAATCTTAAAATCTGTACATAACACATTTTAGCCATCGCCATAATGTAGAAAATATTTTTACTTAAACTATTTCGAGTAAATTTTTTTATACTAGGCATACTAATTTGATGTCCTTCACAGATATGGCAAATCAGTAGCTTATTTACAATTGCTCAAAGTACACCAACAGTTGCCTATATCTACAAAAGGAAAAGGGAAAGAAATGTTTTACTTTAGATCTTCATAGAAATTGGTCTACATTTGTGTTACTCGTGAGGAAAAACAGATATATTCACATGCGACCAGGCGAAAGATGTTTCTATAAAACACGTTATCAAGTCTAGCATTTTATGATATATTAATTAGATTAAGATTAAAATACAATTTCTATTTAAATTAAAGTAATAAATTATTCCTTTTTTCCAATTTTTTTTAGTTCTTTAGAAGCTTATGAAAACCTAGATTGAATTAAGTAAAGTAAGATTTGTGAAATTGTGTAAGATTTGTATGATGTTGAAGAATGAAGTTGCAAAGAGAAAACAATAATTGCAATTGCAAAGAGAAAACAATAATTGCAATTGCAAAAAGAAAACAATAATTGCAATTGCAAAAAGAAAACAATAATTGCAATTGCAAAAAGAAAACAATAATTGCAATTGCAAAAAGAAAACAATAATTGCAATTGCAAAAAGAAAACAATAATTGCAATTGCAAAAAGAAAACAATAATTGCAATTGCAAAATGAAAACAATGATTACAATTGCAAAATGAAAACAATAATTACAATTGCAAAAAGAAAACAATAATTGCAATTGCAAAAAAAAACAATAATTGCAATTGCAAAAAGAAAACAATAATTGCAATTGCAAAACGAAAACAATAATTGCAATTGCAAAACGAAAACAATAATTACAATTGCAAAACGAAAACAATAATTACAATTGCAAAACGAAAACAATAATTACAATTGCAAAAAGAAAACAATAATTACAATTACAAAAAGAAAACAATTGTTGCATTGCATTTAATAAAGATGAAAAACAATATTGACTTATTGCAGTAGTTAATTTTAATTATAGTTGCATCTTTAACATTAATGGCTGAGCTAATTTCTTAAGCAAACGTATTGAGCCATGACGGAATTCAAATGCCTTATTTTTGGAGCATCAAAAAGTAATAAATTTATTTGAAAATAAATATACACTTATTGAAAAAAATCCTCGATACATATTTCCATTTCATTAAAAATATCCCTGTAAATTCATTCCATTATCAAAACGTGTTGGCATAAATAAACGAAACATATGCGAAAACAAACTGAAATAATCCTCTTTGAAATTTATTGTTGCAATTTCATTCGCAGATTGGTATCAGCCAAACAAATTATTATCGTGTGTCTTTCGAATAGCGAAGTAATAGAATTTAATGTTTCGGTAAGTAATCGAAAATCGTTTGTCCAATTCACTTAAACGTTAATACTTAAATTAGATACGAGTGGATGTAAAAGCTGTTTATTAAATTTGAGCCAGTAAGTTATGAATATTATCTTTCGAGAGCTATTTCTGCGACAATCTACGTTGCTTGTTATTACAGTTATTATTTCGATTTTATTTATCCCTAAGAATAAATATTTACTATCGCTCATAATTTTTTTAAATGCTTCTATATGCACAGGTTCCAAAAAGATTAAGAAAAAATTTGGATTAGATGGCCATAAATAAATTTTATAAAAATTATGCAATTTACTAAACATGCATTGCTATATCAAAGTATGATATACGAATTAGAGAAGCTGTTGTATTTTATAGTTATTAGACTCGTGGACCAAATTGTGTTTTAAAAGCCTCTGCAGTTTTTGCAAGTAGAAATTGTGTAATAAAATTTGAGATAGCCATGCTTTAGTTATGAGTACTGGACATCAATTTTCAGAAAAAAATCATTGGCTGAATAGAATTGGCCCAGAGTCAATATCATGTAGCTAGATAAATAAATATCAGCCCTTCAGTAGGTTGTGCCATGTGAAATGAACTTTTGACTACACAATTTTTAAAAGGTTACAAACGCGAATTGTTTGAACATATTTAACCCATCTGCATCAATGCACTTTTACCATGGATGACAAAGCATTTTTTACCAGTTTTAAAGAGCTTCTTTGATATATAGCTAATAAATTCAGCAAGGCTGTTTCGACAGTTTCGTGATTGATAAAACAATTATTCTTAAAAAACGAGTCCGAATGTTTAAATAGTTGGTAGTCAGTAGGAGAGAAGTCTGAATAAGGCATAAACCTGAAATTTCAACTCGTTCAGTTTTTGGAGTGTGACTTGTTAAACATGAGGTCTTGCGTTATCATGGATAAGAATAAAGGCCTTTTGATTCATCAGCGCTGGTTTTGATTATAACAATTTTTGATGCACACCATCAATTTCTCATCGTAATACAATGCATTATTTTTTAAACCAATTCCTAGGAAGC